AAAATCAGCCTCATTGTTCACAGCAGGTGGAAGCACTGGAATTGTGTGGAGAAATTGTGCAGAAGGGGACAAGAATCCCAGCGTTGGAGAAGGGAGAAATTGTTCAATTCTGCCGCAGAAATCAACCCAAAACGCCAAACTGTGACCCCCACCTCAATGTTAAACCTCCCAGCACAACCAGAGGCAAGAGAAAAAGGAATCATGGAATGGTTTGGGTTGGAAARAACCCTAAATCCCATCCCATTGCATCTATCACTATCCCAGGCTGCTCCAGCCTGGCCTTGAACACTTSCAGGCATGAGGAATCCTTTTTAATCCCTTTATTTCACTTTTCCCCAGCAGAACCAGCTCCATTCTTGGATTCAGATCTGAAGAYACCTGGAAGGTGACCCCAGGTAACAGATTATGCCTGAACTTCGTGCACACACATTGTGTAAGAGCCTGGAACCAGGAGGAAATCTCTTAAGAGGATGTCAGTGAAAGCAGCTGAAATTTCTGAGCACTCTTCCTCAATCCTCCTTGCATAATCACCCTTTGMTGAGGAAGCAGCAGACAGGAAGAGCCACTTGAGACAAACCCAAAAACATCCCTCAAGGTGGAATTCCTGCACAGAATCAGAATCCTTGAGGGTGGACCAGCCTTGAAGTCCATCAATGCACCTTTTTGTTAAGGCTGACAACTTATTTTCATATTTTCATTACATGCCTCAAAGGGAAGGCAGAGGGTGGCACTTCACTGAGGATTTTAATAATGAATATGACCATTCCCACCGTATTCTGGGCATCCCTGACCGTTTTCTGAACATTCCCATAATTTCCTGTCCATGCCCACTGGTTTTCTGGCCATCCCTGCCATTCAGGTGACAACACTGCTCACTGTGCTACTGAAAAAAGTTTTGTGGTGAAGGCTGCAACGGTGGAAAATCATTTTTAGGTCAGCTTTGGAGAGAAGGGAAATGATCCCAGCTTTCTAAAGAATACATTGAAGGCTTTTTCTGTGCCTCTGACTGAGGGAAAATTTCGTTTTTATTCTAAGTTCCTCCATAAAAAGAGTTGAAAACTCCACTGACTGCAACAGCTACGTGCTGCCTCAAGTCAGGATGCTGGATGGCTTTTATGCTTTTTAAAACACTAAAAATAGTTACTCCACATGGAATAAATAAACAAAAAACTCTTAAATATATCCCAAAGTACTCAGAGGAAAAAAAAAATCTCCTTTTTCGCCATTCCAGCTGAGACAACCCTGAACCACAATTCCTCTGTCTTTTTTTTTTGTTTTGTTTTATTAGACTAACTGGAAAAAAAAACCCTCTGAAATAATCATGACACAAAATATTCACAGACACGACAGAGATGTGGAAAAGCCTTTAAATCATGTTTCACACCTCTGTGGCTTTTAGAAACAAAACCCAAACAGTAACAGAATCCTCCTGACACTCACTGCTCCCCTGTAAACTTCAATTCACCTTGCTCTGCAAAGAATTCAGCCTCAAATTGCACACACCCACCACATTTCRCTTCGCTCCTACAGGCAGAATTAAATTTTAAATGGGGAAAAAAAAAATAACATATACAAGGTTTCCCAAACATTATTTGTTTCAGCAGGTAAAATATTTCACTTTGTTCCTACTGGCAGAATCAAATTTTAGATAGGGAAGAAAAACAAAAAACGCTACGTTTCCCACACCTTGTTGTTTCAGCAGGTAAAATATCCAGCAGTAATTTGTTTTTTTCCAATCCCTTGGAAGGTCTTTAGAAGATCAAAAATCATTAGGATTACTTATTTCTCATCATTTTCTTGTTATATCATCCCAGAAAAAAAAATTCAAGTCCCGGAAATTCCCAAAATTCTCACTTTCTGCAGGGGTAACACGTCGCTGCTTTTCTTCCATCTCATTTAAAATGTGTCACTCAGGAGCACAGCTGAGTGCACGTTAAAGATGCAAAAAGGAACAGTCTCAAGGCCTTCTTTTCTTCCTAATAAAAAAAAACTTATTCTTTGAGAAAACAAAGGTTTGCACGTTACARACACGTTGGGGACTGAAAAGTTCTGAACAGAAATAAAAACTGGGGCAGGCAGCGCGAGGAAACTCCTTTGCACTGGGAGGTGCAGGAGGAGAAATCTCCCACTTGGAGAGCTGAACGAAACACAAAACCATTTTTAAAGGATCCAAATTCATTTTCTGGACTGCAGAGGCCTTCAAAGCCTCCAGATTGGTGGTTTTGTGGTGATTGCAGCCCTTTTGAAGGCGAAGCAGAGCAGAAATAGCAATCCCTGGCCCTAATCACCCCTWTTACGTGGGAAATATCCATCATTTCACCATCAGGGGCTGATTTGATGATGCCGGATGAACTGAGCTCTCAGGAACACATTCCCCATAGGTAAACTCGGGTTTTTCTGATCCCAGATCCATCCCTCCTCTTCTTTACCAACCTGGCACTTTTACAATCCCCCAGAAAAGGAAAGAAGGAGCACCCACAGAGGTCTCCAACAGCAAGGACTGTACTTCCTTCTCCAGAGAATTTGTTTGAAGGACCTAAAAGTGCTCRAGGYCAGGTTGGATGGGGCTTGGAGCACCCTGGGATAGCGGGAGATGTCCCTGAAGGAATGGGATGRGATTTAAGGTCCCTTCCAAATCAGACCACCACATAATTGCATGATTCTCTGCAAAGAACTAAATAATTCCTAAATCACCAGGAAAGGGAAAGAGAAAGGAAAGAGAAAGGAAAGAGAAAGGAAAGAGAAAGGAAAGAGAAAGGAAAGAGAAAGGAAAGAGAAAGGAAAGAGAAAGGAAAGAGAGGGTAGTTTTTATGGGTTAAATTTCCTTCAATGCTGCCTTGATTGGAAAACTCGACCTCATCCCCCTACAAGGCAAATTAGAGCTGTTAATTACTGCAGTTTCCCTGCCGTTAATGAGATGCAAGGGTGTCATTAGTGAGGTCTGTCAGCCCCACTCGTGTGCAGGGAAATGATTTGACAACACTTCTGTCATCTCAACCTTTCAGGAAAAAAACAGTCCCTGGGAATAAAAAATAAAAAACATCACTGGGAATAAAAATCCTTCACGGCAMAGAGGACAGATGGCAACGTTCCCAAGGAAAACCCCCAAAAAATGTTCACCCTTCAGGAGGAGAGGAGGGTCAGCCCTGTCAACAATCAGTAATTTGAATATTCCAAGGGGAAAAAACCCCAACCAAATATCTTCTGAAGAAAAAAACCCAACCAAATATCTTCTGAGGGAAAGAACCTCAACTAAATAGCACCTGAGGGGAAAAAACCCCAATGAAATATTGTCTGAGAGAAAAAAACCCCAACCAAATATTATCTGAGAGGGAAAAAAAAAAACCCAACAAAATAACTTCTGAGGGAAAAACCCCATCTAAATATCTCCTGAAGGAAAAAAATCCAACCAAATATCTCCTGAAGGAAAAAAAAAACCCAACTGAATATTTTCTGAGGGAAAACAACCCCAACCAAATAGCACCTGAGGGAAAAAATTCCAACAAAATATCTCCTGAGGGGGAAAAAAACCAACCAAATATCATCTGAGGGGAAAAGCCCAACCAAATATCTTCTGAAGAAAAAAAACCCAACCAAATATCATCTGAGGGGAAAAAAAACCCAACCAAGTATCATCTGAGGGGAAAAAAACCCAACCAAATATCATCTGAGGGGAAAAAAACCCAACCAAATATCATCTGAGGGGAAAAAAACCCAACCAAATATCTTCTGAAGGAATAAAAAACCAATTAAATATCTTCTGAGGGGGGGAAAAACCCAACCAAATATCACCTGAGGGTAAAAAACTCCAACAATATATTATCTGAGGGGAGAAACCCTGACCAAATATCTACTGTTCATAGAGTGTGGGAAGAAATGTGTCCAGATCCTGATTTTTGTTAAATTTTGCCGTTTTCAGTGACGTAACACCCACATGAAGCACAATCCACACCTTGGTGCAGTTACCACCGTCAATTGTTGCTATCAGTCCTCGCTATGAAGCGGCAAAAACATTGAAGGCAAACTGATAAACTGAATTACTGCAATTCCACAGAAAACYCCTCCTGTTTTCACTGAGATCCCAGTAAAAATGCCAACTCAACAGCTTCCTCTGCTGAGAATTAATTAGAAATAAATGTTATCAGAGATGCATGAAGCTACAAACTACTGCTGGAGAGACAGCTAGGGCAAGAGACAACAACGGTGAGATGCACTAAAGACGCAAAATCAAAAGGAAACGACTCAAAAATGAGACACAAAACGAGGGGGAAATTAAAAAATAAAAATAACGTTCTAGTACAGACAGCACCATCTGTCCCTTCCAAAGGACAATGTATAGTTACCTGCATCCATATCTGCAAAGAAGGGAACAGCCAGTAAGGAAAAGAAGGAACCAGAAATTCAGTGTCTCAGAGGTRGATTTTAAAAGGTCATAAGGAGAACAGATAAAGAAAAATCATCAAAAAAAAAAAAGTATTTACTGTAAGATACTCCTCTGTGAGGTATGTGATTTTTTTTATTAATGCTAAACACTAYAATGTACAAATTAATTTTTTATGCCATAAGAACATAAAAAAGACCAAATATTTAACATATTGAACAATAAATAAGTTACACCTTAAAATTTAGGCTGGTGGTATTTTTTTTTCATTCTTCCAACACCCTGATTGTGCAAAACCCCACCAGGACAGCCAGCAATTGTGGCTTTGAACAGCCCAGGTGAAAGCAGCAGTCAGCTCCTCTCCATCAGGGCTAATTCCCATAAAAAGGATGCCAAGCAGTGATAAAAAAAAATCTACAATTACACCCATTGTACACACTTAGCTCAGCCTGGAGAACATTAAAGCAAAAAATCCCTATGGATTTTGAAGCAGCAAACGGGTTGTTTTTTTGGGTTTTTTTTTTTTTTTCTAATTCATTTCTGCGTGATCAAAAATGAACAAAATGCGGTTTGTGGTGGGGAAAATCAAATCAAGAGTGGGATTTGTGTGCCSACCTACCTTCAGGGGATTCCTCCTGGACGTAGGTGCCTGTCAGGTAGCGGTGCACCAGCGCTGACTTCCCACTCGCCAGGTTACCCACAATCCCCTGGAACAGCAAAAAACAAAAAAAAAATACGAAATTTTAAAATTAAAAAATAATCCCTGAGAAAAGAAGCATATTTGAGTGAAATCTTATCACAGAGGTAATGACAGAAAGAGGGAAAGGGATAAAGGAAATGGGAGMGTGGTTTGGGKTGGAAGGGACCTTAAAGACTGAGCYGTTCCAGCACCTTCCACCATCCCTGGAAACCTGGACATTTCCAGGGATCCAGGGGCAGCCACAGCTTCTCTGGGCACCCCATGCCAAGGTTGAGCCAAGAATTCAGCCCAAAACCACRGGGGTTTTCTCCCAAATGCCAAAAGCTCGAGGATATTTGGGGTTTGTTGCTTTAAAGGAGCACGCAGAGCTGAGGATGTCGTGCTCCCTGCTAGGGGGGAGCCAGTGGAAACTTCTTTTCCCCATTTTCCTCTGCTTTTTGCTGTTTACTTGACCCTCAGCAGAGGGTCAGAACAAAAGATCCCTGGGGAGGAGATGAACTTGGGATCGCCAAAGGGGCCAAGGCAGCAGCAGCGAGCTGCRGCGTTCCCTGCTGCGTTTTCTTCATCCTAATTAGTAAAGAAACCCTCTCATTATCAAACATGGTCTGACAGGACCCCGCCACGTGAGCTGGCACCCCAAACACCCCAAATTCCCTGGGTTYTGGGCTGATCCCACAGCGYGGGCAGTGGGGATTTTGGGATGAGTCACGGGAGGAAAAGAACATTGCCAACAAATGTCCATTAATTAATGACTTTTCCCTCCGTTACAAGCCTGTGAACTGCAATAAATTTCTCCTCCTACTCACACCACAAAACCATCAATACCTGAGGGATTATCCTGTGAGTAAACTGCCTTTTTTGCACTTTTTCTAATCCCCAAATTGACACCATCTCCCTTTCCCTACAWATCTTCCCAACCACAAGTTTCTTCCCACATTTTTCCCTTCCCACAACAACCATCACTCAAAAGAGTGAATTCAGTGTGGGAAGGCTGAATTGGGTTTTTAATGGTCAATAAATTCAGTCCAGACCCAGTTTTCCACTGAAATTTTCTCTGTGTGGATGGAAATTAATGTTCTTTTAATTACACTTGTGCCAAAATTGTAACAACAGAAAAGTGACAACTTAGGGTCCAGTGAGAGTGAACATCCCAYTGCATGGATGTCTTATGCTAGTTAGAGACCTGCAATATTTGAAAGACAACAAGTGATCTGAGAATAGAATTTTATATTTTAAAATTTTTGTTAATATCCCAATTTGAAAGACATCAAGTGATTTGAGAACAGAATTTTGTATTTTCTTTTTTTTTTTTTTTTGCTAATATCCCAAAGGTCGTATCAGGATACATCCCTGACAGTACTTCTKGCTCYGTGATATATTCCCACAAACGAGGAGCAACAAATTTTACACTGGAAAATTCATTTATTTTACACTGAGAAAAAAAGAAAAAAGTGACTTTTGATACGGTTGCTGTGTTGATCAGCATGATTTGCTTTAAGGCTGATCCCCCAGAGTATGACAAACACGCCAGGCTGTTTTCACAGCACTCATATTCCCCTCTCTGCCCCGTTTGATACACAAATAATCCATTTATTTATGGATCTGTCTGAAATGCACTGAGTTATGACAGGCACGTTAGGAAACCAAAATACCACCCTAACCCAGCTCRAGGAGGAGGAAATTCAGCTCCAACTCACTGCTCTTTTCAGCTGTGACTTGTGCAACGCTGAATTGTTTATTTGCATGTGCCAGACACGCTGTGAAACAAACCCAACTCCTCCTAAATCCTGTTGGGAAATTCACCAACTCCATTGATGCCACTTGGCAYTTTAAAGCTGTCCAGGAGAGGAGCCTGGCTGCACTTTGTGTATTTTTTTGCAAGAAATTCAGTGATTTTAATCTAAAAGATCTCACATTTATTGAACATTTGAATCGAACAGGATCCAGGAATGCCAAAGGCGCAATAAAAGCATCAAAATAATTTCATAAAACTCAATTACTGGATGAGCAGGAACCCATTACAGAATYCCAGACTGGTTTGGGGTGGAAAGGACCTCAAATCTCATCTTTAATCTCATCCCATGGGCAGGGGCACCTTTTCCACCATCCCAAACTACCTCCAAGGTGTCCTTGAAGATCCTTCTGAACACTGCAAATAAACCAAGCCTCGTGCTGCTAAAAAAAGCAGGCAAAGTTGCTGTTCCTTCCTCAAAAGCACATTTTTAAAGTTCCTCCTTCCTTTATTGCAGCCCTGGGTGCTTTCTCTGCCCTTTCTGTTCCCTCCAAAACCCTGCAGAGCCCGAAGGGTTCAACAACAGCCACTACAGAAATCAATAAAAAATAAATCCCAAGCCACCACCTCAATGCAGGGAATTGCCAGCTGGCAGAAAACAGCCTAAACATAAATCAAACTCTTTAATATTGACTCCTTGACTTCCTCACCCACCGAGGATGAGGATGGAAGTTTGGGAATGACAGAGGTGACCCCCAAAGGCAGAGCAGATTTCAGGTTCCTGATCTGCCTTTTCTGCTGGAGCACAAGTTACCAGGCACAGCTGCTGCTGATGGTTTCCATCATTTGCAGGGCTATAATCAAATTAAATTATTATTTTTGTAACAGCACAAGTTCTGCTTTTCCCCTTGGACAGGCTGACCACAAATCCATTCTCTGCAGCAGCCACACGGTGAAATTTGCTTTTCCATCCCTGGTTCAGACAGCACAGGGGTAGGAAAGGAAAGAAATACTCAAAACAAGCATTTGGGTGATGCAGCCAGGCTGTCACAAGAGAAAATATGAAAAAATACCCTGGTGCAGCTGTGAGGATGCTGCTCCCACTAAAATACCTCTCTAAACTGCATTTATCCTGTTAACTGTGGTTTATGCTTTCTCCATAAACCCCTATTATCAACCCAGATTTGGGGAAAAAAAAAAGTTGTTTTGCCACGTGGGAAAACAGAAATGGGCTGGGGCCCCAAYTGAATACTCTTAAATGGAGATGGTTTTGCCCACCTCCCTTTGCTGCTCAGGTCCTGGGAAACAGAAGGGAAAATCTGGGAAACTCTCCTCTTCTGTCTCTTTATTTTTACTTCTTCTTTCAGGTTTAAGGGAAAAAAAATCAGCCAAGGGAGAAGTTACTGTAAGCAGCTATTAAATAACTGTTCATTATTACAGTAAAATGTAGGTTGAGAATCACTAAACGAACTTTAAAAATATTCTTTTTTATTTTATTCACGATAAATTCAGTTAAAGTCTTTAAAGAAAGGGAGAAAAGACATTTGGCCTGTAAAAAATGGTGAAAACCTTTTATGGGGAGATGAAATGAGCTTTCCATGTCAGCTGATAACACCTCTCATCAGACTTCCCTGATGAAAAGATCCCCCTTGGAGCTGCTTCAGGGAGCAGAACAAATTCAAACAGCAATAAAATACTGAGAAATCATTGATTATAAATTGATTATTTATAATCTTTGATTATAAATATTGAATGTGCATCATCTTGATAAAGGTAACTTCAACCCTGGAATGTTCAGGGCCAGGATGGGGGCTCGGAACAACCTGGGATAGTGGAAGGTGGCAACGGGGTGGAATGGGATGAATTTGAGGTCCCTCCCAATTTAAACGATTCTGACAGGCCGTAACAGTTACGTAAAAGAAGAATCCTTTATTTATTAAAACTTTCTACATTTTTTTCCCAACAGCAGACGGAAGGAAGCGTGGAAAATCTACACTTCTGTGTCATTTTTTTGGTATTTTTTGAGACAACAAAAACATGAATCAACATGAACTCACCACTTTCAGCTCCGGCACAGAGCGGCTCAGCGTCCATTCCTGGCTGTTTACAAAGGCATCTGTGGAGGAGGAAAACATCCACAACGTCAGGAAAATGACATTTAACATCAGGATAATGACATTTAACACTCTGCTGCRCACAATTTCACGCCCAGGTTTTGGGAATGTGACACCCAAGGTCAYGCCCGATCTTGGGAGACCGACAGCCCAACGCGACGGAACCCAGGGAAAATGTTAATTTTGGATAAATTGTGTAAAAAATGCCAGAAATTCCCATTCTGCATGGATCTGCTGATCATCAGCATCAGCAAACTCGCTTCAGACCCTCGGGGTTGTGCAAAGGCTCTTCCTGCTTAAACCATTTCCATTCCATCCCCGCAGGAAAAGCCTTGGATTTGTCACACTGTCACCCACCGGGACTGCCACCATCAGCAGAAATGTCTCCACCCAGGTAAATGAGCAAATTGGCTGGTTCTAAAACCTGTTATTTTCTGCTGCACATCATCACACTTCACGTCACCAGAGGCAGTGGAACGTCCCTGCTCAGGTAGAGGAAAATCTCACTTTATTCCTCAAACATTCTGCTGTCAGGAGTGTAACCAAAGCAGAAATAAACCACAGAGCAATTCCCTAGAAAATCAAATCAAAACTGCTGGGGGCAGGGGTTGATCTCTTGAAGAAAGGCAAGTTTATCACAGAAATTTAATTCCTTTGGGCTGAACCCTCACCCAAGAGCAGAAAGAAGGCTTTCCATTTTTCTGCCCCCACAACATTGGTCATTTTGTCCCTCCCATAAAGGTCCATAAAGCTGTAAGCAAAACAATTTTTCTGTTCCAAATCCAGCGTGGATCCTGATTTAACCCCTCCAGAACCACAGGAAACTGCTGAACTGAGCAGAGCAGCTCCAGGATGGAGAATCTACCAAGATTCCCACTCCCCAATCAGCTCCTGGTGCCCTTCTCCAGTTTTATTTGGTTTTGTATTTCAGCTGGGAATTGAGCTTTAGATTGGTGTTAGGAAAAATTTCACTGGCCTGAGAGGAAAAAAAATCTATCAATTCTCCTGGAATAAAATAAGTGAGCAGATCTCTGCTACTCACTTGAGGAACTGCAAAAAAAAAATTCTGCCGAGTCAAGGGTAGATGCACAAGGGCAATGAGAACATCACAAATCCCATGGCTTTTCTTTAAAATAAAACCCTTAAAATATAATTTTAGAAAACCTGTGCATTCCAAAAGGACCAATCAGGGAGGCAATGAAAGCTAAAATTCCAAAAAAGCATAGAGAGCAAGAGAGAGCAGAAAGAGGAAGGGAGAGCCAACATGAGGATTTATTCCTCCTCCTTAGTCCTTCAGTAACTCAGAGGAACCTTCTGTCYCTGTTCCAGTGTTAAGGGTGAGAGGGGAGACTTCGATTCCASATAAATCCCAGAATGGTTTGGGTTGGAAAGGACCTCCAAGCTTGTCCCTTCCCACCTTCCGCTATTGCAGGGTGCTCCAAACCCCATCCAACCTGGCCTTGGACACTTCCAGGAGAAATCCCAGTGTTTGATGGCCACAGCACAGGATGGAGCTGATCCCAAAGAGGATCTCAAAGAGGATCCCAAAACAGTCTGGCTGTTTTAACCCTTCCTACTCAACATTTCCAAAGAGAAAAATCCACTTCTTCAAACCCAGATCTGCTAAAATCATTTGCTAAAATTGAAATAGTCATTAGCGGAATGATGTTAATGAGAGAATGCGGCACCACGGCCAACACAACCAACCACGATTGCAAGAGAGGAGGAAAATCACACAAAAACTGGAAATGTTTCACAGCTCTGACAGAAATAACCCCACCAGGGTCTGTCTGTCTGTCCAGCACTCTGCCTCGTCCCATCCTGGATTTTTTACACCAAATTAACTCCATTTACTGTCACGGCCAACAGCAGCGAGGCAGCTCATGGGAAAAAGTTATCTTTATTATCTGAAAAAATTATTCTAACTGGGGCTGATTAGGGTCACACCACCCTSTCCCCATCCTTTGGGTCCATCCTGAGGGATAAAATCCCCCCCAGCCAGTGCAGCCAGCCTGTTCATTGRTATTTTAGGACCGCCTGAGATGCCCTAGAGTTATCCCAGCACAGCAGCCCTTGACCCACTGACCTCATTTTGCCCTTTTTTCACCCAAATCTCTCACCCATCGCTAGCAAAGAGCTGAGAAGCTCAGAGCTTTCCCTCCCTCTCTGATCCAGATGGAAACTCCGTGGCCAAAASGAGCATGAGGGAAGGGCGGGCAGAGATCTCTGCAGGATGACGTGAAAAAATTTAAATCTTTCACKATTCTTGGAAAGCTTCTTAGTGAGAGCTCCCCTCAGGCAGTCCCAACGTTATTTCACTGCCCTTTCAAATGAGGAAAAGCTGTAAATAAATAAAACACACACGAGCCAAGGGATTTTTTTGGAAACTCTCAGCTCAAGACCGTTTTTGCCAAGAACAGGAGCCCTCAAAAACGCGGGAATGAAGTTAAAATCACCGACAGCCACATCGCGCCCTGCTCTCYTTTTGAACAATTCCTGCATCTCAAGCGATATTTGGAGTTTGTTCTGCTTTGAAATCAAAACCTGAGAGTGAACAGGTCCAGAAAATATTCCTACAAGTTCCCACCTGCCCCCAAGGATGCCGATGAGGCCACACGTGTCTCTCCTGGAGCTGCATCAAAGCAGAACGTTTGGGACGGATCTCCCAAAGCTCGTGCGCTAATTTTCTCAGCAAATTTTCTTAGCAAAAGGGGGAAAATAYGCAGCTTTGGGGTTGGGACTTGTGATCCTACTAAAACAAGAATTTTTCAGGAGGGGAAATCTCCAGCAGCACAACCTCTCCAATTCGCCCTCAAAGCCAAAGCACTGCCTCAGTTCCAACAGAAAACACAGAAAAACCATCCTGGCACGTTTATTTGGCAGCAAGTATTGTTTGGAAAGCCATGTCGCATTTCAAAAGGCTCTTATTCTGTTTTATATGGGGCTCTGAGCAACCAGGCATAGTGGAAGGTGTTGCCCTGCTTACGATGTTCAGACAGAAAAATCTGTTCTTCAAACCCAGGAATGACCGCTAAAATCTGAATAAATATTAGTAAATTTGTATTTACAACAGGGGCTGGAACTCGTCGGGCTTTAAGGTCCCTTCTAACCCAAATTAGCCCGGAATTCTATGAATTTTTATCCCCGTTGCATTTGGGTTTCTAAAATCAGTTTTTTATATTCTCTGCTAATTCGCTCTGTTCTGTTACACCAAACAGCAACCACAAAGCAACAACAAATAAAACCTTTATAAAACCACCCACAGCAGTACAAAAATGATTAAATGTTTATTTCCTCCCTACTCAGTGTGACAAAATCATCAATTCTATGGCTTTGCACTGCATGCCAGTTAGGAATTACTGCTGCAAACAGCTCCAAACAGTCCCATTTTTTTTTGTGTAATTTATATTTTTTCAGGCAGTTTAGGCAAAAAAAAAGCAGCATTGCAGCTCGTGCACTGGAACTGTGGGAATCCCATCCCAGCCCTGTATTTCCACTTCATCCACACACTGCAGGAGGAGTCACAAAAATGCCATCATTCAACCACAGCCCCAAAACGGGGGGATTTCACCATTTGGAAGCTGGAGACTCCTCCCATCCTCAGGACGGATAAAAACCCCACAAACGCTCCCCATTTCAACACAAATATTTAACATTGGACAGATTTATCCCCAGCCATACCCAATCCCTAATTACAGCCAGAGAAAAGAGGCTGAGCTGGGAGCAGCAAAGGCAGCAGCAATCTGAGCCCACGCTCCCGTATCTGCAACATCTGAAAAACCTTTCCCTGTAACTGAGAACTGCATTAAACACAGATTTAGGTCAGAGCTGTAATCTCCCTCCCAGCAGCATCTGGCAGCAGCAGCAGCAGCGTTATCCTTTGTGCTGCCATGGAAACAAAAGGAGGAGAAGGGATGCAGAGAGTGCTCGAGCTCCCCAGCCTCTCCCAAAACACTGGGATTGGGAATTTCAGAGCACTCACCTCGGGTATTTAGGTTTTGTCTTCCCTTTCTCAAYTGTTGAAATTGAAAGTATTTCAATTGTTGAAATTTAAAGTGTTTTTGATGCTGTTAATATTCCCACCTCTCTCTCACATCCACAGCCACCCAACACCACTTTCAAGTTATTTCAGTTATTTTTGTCTTCCATTTTTTAATTGTTGAGATTTAAAGTGTTTTTGCTGCTGTTAATATTCCCCCTCACCCTTTCTCATCCACAGCCACCCAAAACCGCTTTCAGGTTATTTTGGTTTTCTCTTCCATTTTGTTCAGGTTATTTAAGTTTTGTCTTCCCTTTTCAAATTGTTGGAATTAAAATGTTTTCATTGCTGTTAATATTCCCCTCACCCTTTCCAATCTTCAGCCACCCAACACCGCTTTCAGGTTATTTTGGTTTTGCCTTCCATTTTCAAATTGTTGGAATTTAAAATGATTTTGCTGCTGTTAATATTCCCCCTCATCCTTTCTCATCCACAGCCACCCAACACCTTTCAGGTTATTTCAATTACTTTTGCCTTCCATTTTTGAATTGTTGGAATTTAAAGGGTTTTTGCTGCTGTTAATATTCCCCCTCTCCCTCTCTCTCACATCCCCAGCCACCCAACACCACTTGAGGCRTGTGCAGGGATGTTCTCTCCTATGGGATAACCCCATACTTCCTACAAAAATAAATTCAGATAACGTATCCAAGAAAATTCCCAAACCCAGTCCCACACTCCATGTTTTACACCACCACCACCAAATTATTTCTTTTTTTTTCTATTTATCCCTCAAATATCATGTAGCTCCGACCACARCTTCTCATCCCAGCCCTCCCACCCCACAAAACAAAACCCTAAAACCCAGCAGAGCGGATATTATGGCTGCAATCTGTTTATAAGGAAAAAATAAATTACACACTCGACACAGAAAACCTCCCATTCCCTGTATTTTCCCAGTGGGTTGGGAACACACAAATTAAAACCCCACAGATGAAACCAGTTTTCTCCACCGTGGGAGAAGTA